ATATGCTAGAGTTCCAAAATAAATCCTCAGTGCCACCAAAAAAAAAAAAAAAATCACTACAATAAATTTTCAATCTTTTTTTCTAGTTAAAACCAAGAAAGTTAGCAAGAAAATGATTTTATCAAACCTGTAAGTACTAGAAAACTTAACCCATTTAGTGAATTTTCATTTCTTTATCATATATCCCCTAAAAAAGTTAATGTCTATTTCCAGTTCTAATCTATCAGTGCTATGAATTAGCATAAATACTTGGTGTTGCAATATGTACTGGGAAAACACTAAGCACATTTCTGAATTGAGTAGCTTCTCTATCCACAAGATTAAAAAACAATTCTTTAAATTTATTTCAGTTAGCAACCAATCCCTGCTTAACATAGTATTTTTCCAATTACACCAATTAGGTGTGGCTACTTTGTCACAACTTGTTTGTTTAAAGAAATGATCCATCAAATATCAAAATGATCCATATAAATATTTAAACAAATATGCTCTCCTAATACATACCTACGTTATTTTTTTATGTTTCTTTATATCTAGGATAAAGACAAGAGAATTGGTACATAACTTAAAAATATAAATACATTTTAATTGATCATTTTTAATTGTCAGGTTAAATTTCAAATCAAAGCAATTTTAAGTATTACTACATTTTAATGACCTTCTATAGCATAGTCCTCTAGTCAGGAGTGTGAAGTGACTCAGCTCCTGGGAGGTCCTCAATGCTTATTTCTCCTTTGGGTTCTATAATATTTGCAGTCTGCCATATTAGTTTATAATTTAATAGGGACATATCAATTTCATGATATATGCTATTTCCTCAACCACAGCTGAAGCAAGAAATGAACAAACACTGGAAACATGTTATAGAATTTTAAGGTGGGACATCTCCAAATTTCATAGCAACCCGTCCTAACAGGATCAGTTATCTGACTCTTCTTTAAACTGCCCATATTAAGGAAATGTTAAATTCTTACCACAAGTTGACTCAGGAAAATGAGAATACAGAAAATACTTTTTCTTTATAATTTCTATATTGTGATGCATACATCCCAAAGTAATTAAAAAGCCAATTAAATTTTTTAAAAAAGTGAAATAGGTCTTTTGATTTTTACCATATAAAGTAGAAAAGGAAAGAGTGAATTTTAGGATGGAAAGATCTCTTCATTTGACCACAAATTTGCTAACAAGCTGTTTATATTCTGAACTCATCACTACCAATCTTTCAAATCTTCTCAAATTATTGCAATGATTTATAGGATATCTTTCCTCCAATTTAAAGTTGGCATTTAAAAGCAAACAAGTTTCTGAATTTTTAAGCCAAAGTCCTGACACAAAATCAATTTTTGCCTGCAGAAGACTGGTAAGGTACTGTAACCCAGTTGAGCTGCTGCCAAAGATGCAGAATAAAAAGGCTTGGCATCTCTAACATACTTGACACCTAAAGGGCATAGAAGCTCTAAAATTCCTAGTCCCTGTAGACACACTCTTAGTCTAGACAAACTGATTTCTCACACTTTTAAAATGCACCAAGACACTCTATTGTTATCATTTCATCCACACAGCTTCAGCTAGTGACAGAAGAACCTGTTTTCAATGGGCTAAAGCTCCCACTTCAAGATTCCATTAAAACAATGTAACACTTGAAAGGCACTATGTCCAACTCTACTTGTCTTCCATGGTGTTATCCCTCTAAATTTTCACTGAGCTACCTGTGACTCATACTTTTACAAACAATAAACATATAAAACATCTGCAAATTATTTAAACTATATTGAATTGATATTCTCCATATATTTCTACTTCTATATCCTAATACAAATCACATGAATTTTCTAGAAACCTATTTATAAGAGAAATGCATTAAGGTTGTTATTATTGCCTTTTGTAATTTCTCACCTTACTGGTAACATATTTTAAAATAATAATTCATAAATCTTCTGATTATAAAAACATTAAATCACACAAGGTATGAGAAGCTTTTGAGCTGGCAAGTAAAAAACCTCAAGACTTACCAGATAATAATTATCTGTATATTATAATGAAGCAGGTTACCCTAGAGATAATACATAGATTTACTGAATGTTAACCTTCAATTTGTAAACAATTGAGTCATGCATGAAATGTACATTTTTACTATTAAAGACTATGTACATAATTTTCATGCATATATAATTATGCTATTAGGAAGTGGTAGTCAGTTAATTATAATTCCCAAATGAAGGGCATCCAAATCAAAATTCGCTACTGAAAAGACACATGTTATAATTCCAAAATTCCATTCTTTCAGTACCATCTTTTTCATAATTAAAAATTTTGGAAGAACTAACAGCTGACCTTCCAATTTTGAAGTCTAGGTAAAAGAAAGAGCAATTTGAAAACTCAATAAATATATATATGTGTATGTGTGTCATTTTTTCAAATACCAATTTCCACTATAAAATATTAGTTTTCCATATAAAAACTGTATGATTCGGTTATCAACTGTCTTCATTTATCTTGTGTGAATTCAACTTTTTTTTTTTTTTAAACAAAGGAAGCAGGGAACAAGCAATGGGAAGTTGGTGTCAAAATGCAGAAAAACCTCCCAGCAAGCTTCTTGCAACCACCCAGGATTTAGAGTCTTGCTGGCCGCTCTCTTTTCAATACCAGAATTTCACACATTTCAATGACTATTATAACTTCAAAGAATCAAATTTTCATCATTGTCCGTCATCTGCCGGTTGATTTGTATAAAGGAGTTCTTCTGCATGCACTCCAAACAAAGGCCTCCTTACTTTTGTGGCTATATATCAAGTTTAAAAGTTTTGTTTGTGACAGTTGTGTCTTTGGTAAATTAGGGTAACACTGAAGGAGTGCAGCTGCTCTGCAGGAACCTCCTTTTTGGCAGCATTTCACTTAAATAAAAACTGAATAATTAGCTTCTGCCTTTATTAAACCACAAAAATGCCACTGGCCTTAGTAATTACTTCCGGTTGCCCCACCCACTTAACCTTAATAGTTTATACTAGTCATAAAGAGAAATAAAAGGATTTTGCACTTTGGAATAAAATTTTGCTAGCTTTCTTAGCATACCCAAGGAGGGCAAAATTTTTATCAGGCTTTTGGGAAATAAGTTAACTAAATATTGCATTTAGTATTGATCAATGTTACAGTTTTAATAGTACATATATTGGAACATTAAGTACAAACATTTATTATAAAAACTTAGTCTACTAGAGGCTATTAGTTACCAATGGTGCTCAAATTTATCTGAGTTAAAACTAATCTAAATTTACTGACTTTATTTTTTCCACATTTTTATTGGTGCATTATATTGTATACAATGGTGGGATTCATTATTACATATTCACATATGTATACAAGATAACATTTCTTGGCTAATTGATAACTATATTTATATTCTACTTCAACCATGAAAGATGCTAAAAGAAAAACAATTTTAGATCTGTAACAAAAACTTCTTTTCAAATAACCAGCAGACACTTACAACAAGGAACTCATTAAAGGTCTAATAATTAATGACATTTTACAAAATAAGTTTTAAAGCTAAAATATAGTTGATAGCATAATCATACCTATTTACTTACTATGGAAGAACTTCACACACTTCTAAAAAGTTAGTGGCCACAGGGATTCAGATATAATAAAAATGTTAAGGTAAATTTGAGTTGGGCCAGTAAAACAAAATTTTGTTTGTTAATACAACAAATTGTTGGAATGTGACATCTGTTAAATTTTACACTCTGGGCAAAGGTGTCATGGACACAGAAATATAGTTTTAAATGGATTATTGTGGAGCATGTAGGAATAGATCATGCAAGTGATGCTGCTAATCATATTTTTTTTCTCAAAAAAGAGTTCAAGATGTATTTCAAACTCAAAATATTTTTATTACTCCTAGATCCTTCAGAGCAGGCCAGAGAAGAACAACGGC